AGTCTGAAATAATGGGTCTAACCCAGCCCAAGGAGAAAATAATAAGGGTTAGATTGTCTAACCCCTTTTTGGGACAAACCTTCAATAGGCCCACTATCCAAAAAAAAAAAAAAAAGGTTATGTAGTTTGTTTTATTTTATTTATTCATGTTTTTATTTTACTTTAGATGATTTATATTGAATTTAATTTATATATGTTTATGTCTTGTTTAATTTTTTTTATTTTATATATTCTCGTGTTTTTTTAGTTAATTTTAATTTTAGAACTTTAATTTTCATAACTAATTTAGATAACTAAATGAGAGATAAATTATTGAGTCTCTTAATTTTTAGGGATCGATGATGATTTTTCTATCGAAAAAAATATAAAATAAAAAAAATAGTTAATTCTTTTTATTAAGATTTCGTTTCAAAGTTAGATTAATAATTAATAGGTGAGTAAATTATCAAGTCTCTTAAATTCTTAGGGACCGATGACGATCTTTACTCGAAATGTCAACAATTAGATAGGTGGGTGAATTGTCAAGTCTCCTAATTTCTTAGGGATCGATGACATTTTTTTTTGAAATATCAATAACTAGATTAAATAATTAATAGGTAGATAATTGTCAAGTCTCTTATATTTTTTTAAGGATCGATGACGATTTTTCCATCAACAAAAAAAAAAAAAAATCGATAACTAAGATGTTCTTCGATATGCCAATTGCGTCAAGACTCAAAAAGTGGATCCGATGTTTGAACCGACGTGTCTCCCGATGAAAGGGTCCGACGATCGTTTCAATACGATGCCACTCCTAAAAATAAAAATATAGTTTTTTTACTTGGAAATTAGAGTTTAGAATATATATAATAATAATAATAATAATTTGACACAAATAAAATGCTTTAGAAGATGAATTTAGGACTAGACCAAATATGGTACCTTTCTTTTGAAAGGGCGTTTTTGGGTAATCTATATCTTACCAAAGCATAACCAACTCCTTACCTTAAAATCTCCGAACCAATGTCCATTTTAGGTTCCTAGTTTCTTCAATATTAGATGACGACTCCAAACTTATAAATAACTTTGTAAATACATCAATCCTTAATTTTTTTGGGAATCTCGTTCGAAGTCGGGTAGCGAAAGTCTGAAACAAAAAAAACTGACAAATTCCAAACATCCAAATGAATTAAATCCAGAGGACCTAAACTTTTATGACTTGGGGACTCTAAAGGGTAATCGATGAGATTTACCCAATGGACGTACGTGAACCACAAAAATTACTATTGGAAGTCGACTTAGACACGGATAGACTTGGTCACAAAGAAGACATGATCTTCTGGTGAGGATTACCTGAACAATGATGCCATGTATCTTCAGAGACTGTAGACGTAAACAATGCAGAAGTAGACGATTGAATCAAGGATGACAAAGAAAGAATAAAGGTCATCAGAGGAATGAGACTTAAGAAGAGTTTTCCAAGGGGTCTTGCTCTTCATAGAAACAGAAGAATAATAAAAAATGACGGAACTTGAATTATCCTTATAAAGCTTAAGAACAGAAATAAGACTGCGAGTGAGTTCAGGAACAGGATAGACAATGGATAATTTCAAATGTTTCAGTGATGTCTGTAGAGCAGAAGCACCAACATGTGTAATAGGAAATAACGTACCATTCCCAATAATAATTTCACTATACTAGCACCAGTATAAGGTTTAAGAACAGAGAGTACTCACCAACGTAGGCAATATCAGGATTCGAGTACTCCTCAGAGTGTTCTCCAACGGATTCAACATGATTGAATCAATTTAGGCATTTAATTACAGCAATATGTCCAACTCCCTCGCAGATTCGACAAACTAGCGTGGGAGAAGCACCAAGAATGGCATATGATGAAGATGGAACAGACCAAGTGTGAGAAACCAGTCAGAGAACTAGACTGCGGAGAGGAACCTGAACCAGAGAAATTTGATCCATATGAACCATAACCTGCACTAGAGAAATCAGAACCATCGGAAAAACGTCCCCCACGATTTCCAGTGAACCACCATTGTAACTGCCACGAATGTCGTTCAAACAACCTCCACAGCTTTGTGAATTATAGCCTCCCTGTTCTCTATCTTGAAGAAGAACATAGAACTGGATAAGAATGGCACAACTTGATTAACACTGCCTGCCTCTCTCTCTCTCTCTCTCTCTCTCTCTCTCTCTCTCTCTCTCTCTCTCTCTATATATATATATATATATATATATATATATATATATATATACTACTTTGTCTGTAAACATAAATATCCATATCCATAACCATAATCATAACATATGATAATATGCAGGCGTGTCAATTCCTATTAAATATAGTTAATACAAATATCTCTAATACTATGTTTCTTTTAGTCCTTTTTTTTTTTTTAAGGCAAATTTACAGAAGAATTTTGAAATAAACAAGCTAGAACAAAGCTAAAAAAATTTATCTCGTATGTATCTTTTAAAATAATATAAAAAGAACTAGAAGGAATAGTTGAAAAATAATTATGCTAAAAAATCAAGGAGAAAGTATGATTTATCAACCAATCCACGTATCTTTAAACACATTAGTAATTTGTATCTATCAAGATAATTGAAGTAGTAATCAAATTGTACTGATTAATTAAACATTGTCTATATCAGTACTTGAATGGTTTTGAATTAATTGAATATCAATTTTAGAATCAGACTCTATCTTTCTGAAGCTCATAACCAAGTCATTTGTAATTAGCTTACGTTTTCATGAATTGTCTCAAGGCGAGCATGTCTTTATTAGTTTTCATTTTAAAGGTTTGATAGCAGTCAAATGCCTTCATTTGGAGTCCTTATGCATGGAAGACGCGGTCTTTCTTTCATAAGGACTTAATTTGTAGCAAAACGAAGAAATTTAAAAGTAGAGAAACAATGTTATCAGGAGAATATTTCAATATTTCTTTTAAAATTGTGTTTTGTTTTAGTTTATTTGTAACTTTTTTTCATAATTTCTCTTTGCAGTATTCTCCCTTCACCGTCACAATACAACAACTTCACTTCAAGCATTCAATTATTGAAAGTTCAAAATATTTTATTACAAATTTTCTCAACAAAAGGGTAGATTTGAAAATCAGGTGAAAGGCAAGGTTACAATAACTTGTTTTTCTTATCCAAGATTACCTTACCGAAAAAACATGCAATTATTCCATTTCTTGGAGTTATTGCTTACAACAGTGAATAATAATAATAATGCAATGCTAAGATTAATTGGCCTAAAATTTTAGTGTAGTTTTCTTTTTTTCTTTAACTAAGTAAAACCGGATTTATTGACTTTTTTTTTTTTTTTTTCAAAATGAGATATTTTTTTTTTCTAATTACTAGTAAATTGATCAAATAATAGACAGCTAGAATGGGTTGATTTACGACCAGTAGTTTTAACCACCACATTCGAGCCATAAATAAATTAATTGTTAAATAAAATGTAAATTGTTCCATTTTCCACTACCCATGTAGTAATTGATCAATTAATGTTGAAAGTGCACCTTACCGCATGAAACTCTGGGATGTGGCGGTCATATGCATATAGTTTACCGTCCGGCAACCTATCTTAAGTACCACAAATGTGCCCTGTAGTTTTTAAAAAAATTAAAAAAAAGGGTTTGAATTGGAGATTTCACAAGACATCTTGAAACAAAAAATAACATTAATAACAATTGAATTATATTAAAATTTAATTATTAGTATAAGCTATCATACACAGGGGTGTGTACTATAAGATTAAAATTGAAAAATCGAATCAAACCGAATTAGAAATTTCGATTTAGTTTTGTATAAAAAATTTTCAAAAAAACAAAAATCAAAAATCAAAATTATTTTTGTCGAATTCGTTTTTTAAAAACAAAATTTGACTTTTATCAAAAATTAAATTAGTATTTTTTTTAACACACATCCAAGGCTCATAGCATTTTTTTATAATTTTTTTTATTGAAACTTCAACTTAAGATATTAGTATTTTTTAAAAATAAAAAAATTATAAAAAAGTGATCGTTCATATTGGTTTAAGAGAAAATTCAAAATTTAAAAAGATAAAAAAAAACAAATTTTAATCGAAAATCCAAAAACTAAACAAAAAAAAATCAGTTTTTTAATAAAAAAAATCAAATCCCAATTCAATTTGATTTTAATTTTTATTTTAATCAATTCAGTTATGAAAAAAAAAAAAAAACCGAATGATCCCCCGTGCATAGCCGATCTTCTTCTTCTTTTTTAAATAAAATTATCAATCTATATTTCTTCCTTTTATATCATCTAGGCAGATGACGAATCACAAAATATATTAGAATTAACTCACAAAATTAATATAATAAATGTTGAAGTCTCATTTGTATGGACTCCTTCATTATTACGAGAGTCAAGCGAAGGCAAATTAGGATACATAGAACGTGAAATAGAAACATTTTTAAAGAAGTTAGGAAGTTGGGTATCCATGAGACAAAGTTCTTTTCCATAACAAATCAAAGGAAAAAAAGAAAGAAATTTTTTTTTTGAATTTATTAATAAAATTTGGACCATTACTTGATTTCTCATGGACTGCTAAAATAATAATATTCTTTTGACATAGAAGTTAGAAAAACCTTGGAAAAATTATCAGATAGTAAATGTTCCATTTTTTATTTACTATTTTTTCATTTAATATTTTGAACCAAGATAGATCTATCAATGAGATGCAGAGCTCAAGACGATGACACAAGAAGTTCCTGCAATATTTCAACTGCAAACATTTTGTACAGGAAACAGCCAAAACACCAACTTCTAGTAGATCTAAGTAATGGGGACAGTAGAACTCAGGAAGCAAAAAAGAAATTAAAGTTAATCAAACTTTAATAACCGACCAAACTAACACAAATTAAGATCTCTAAAATTTTTTCCAAACCTCCTTAAAAATAGAAGAAAATCACCATTATCTTCCTCTGCCAAAAAAATTAATGCCTTCCCACTCTAACAAAGTAGTACGCTGATCCCTATATTCCAATCTCCACGTCTCTGCAACTTGATCCTCCCTCACTCAAAATTTCCTGCAGTAATAACTCAAAATCAAATCACGATAAACCCTAAACAAGACATAAAGTTTTCTTTTTTCAAACTTTTTGAAAATTTTAAAAAAGAAAAATAAAGTTGGTAATTGCAAGCTAGCCTGTTTTTTTTTTTTTTCCCTTTTATTTATAATCTAACCTGTGAAGTACTCTTGCTATGTTGCGTTTCCTCATGGGCAAATCCAGTCCTTCTACCTTCACCAACTCTCTCCACAGATCCTTCACCCTTATCAATTTTCTTGGAACCAATGTGGCTTCTTTTCCGACCCAGAAACCCTCTCCACCTTGTAGAACTTTTAGGTGGCCTTGATGAAACTTCATCTTCCTCGTCATCATCAACAAGAAGTTCATCTCTAATAGTCCTTTGCATTTGGTTGCTGCCATTATCTTTGAATGGCAAGAGCCTGCCCTTGAAGAAAAGCTCATCAGCACTAATCATGGAGTAGTTTGTCACTGAGAACTCAAAGTCTGTGGACACTGGGGTCTCTCTTGAGCTCCTTTCTTGCCTGATTATCTGTTGGGAATCAACAAAATCATTAGAGAAGGAGATTCTAGGGCTCATTGGAGGGCAATAACCTTTGTGCTCGGAGTTATACATGTCTAAACATGCCATGGAATTTCAAAACAACATGGAAAATGAGAAAGAAAAATATATATTGAGCCCTAATAAATTCTATAGGGGACACAAACACTGTTACAACCCACCGAGTAGTGTTTGTATTTATATCTAAGAAGGAAGGGAGTCAGGGAGAGGGAACCTAGCTAGAAAGCCAGAAAATGTAGTACGTTTATCATTTGTTTTTTTTTTTTTTTTTTTTTTTTTGGGGAGGGTGGGGAATAGAATGAGGGCAAGGCCATAATATGTTATTTACTTTTGAATTCATGCATGGCATGCCCATGAATCCATGATGTGATTTTTTTGTCATGACATGTCAATTGGTATTCAATGATGACCAGTTTTGAAGCTACAGTCCCCATATTTTTACTGTTTTCTTCGGATGTGGCCCGCAGTAATGAAGTTACCAAGAAACTCTTCTTTTACTTCTTCCATCATTTTTTATATATATATATATAAAGAGAGAGAGAGAGAACGAAATAAGACACTGCTCTCTTCATGCGAGGCAACGCCAACCAGAACAAGTTAACGCATGTTTTTAAAATGTCGGAATATTACTTTTCGTCTTTGAATTGAGAATTAGACTTTAATGACAAATGCTTTTTACAAAGATTTATAAAAAGATTGTAAAATTTACGCACGGTATGTTCTTATATGTGGCCAAAATAGAAATCTGGAAAGATCCTACTTGCGAAAGATGACAAACCAGCAGCCAAAAAAAAAAAATTGGGAAATGTAAACTATTAAGTGATGATCAATGGTGGGTTTACACATATCCCACATTCTCTTGCTAGTGGTAATGGCATAGCACTTATGTAGGATTAATTAATTGTTTTAACGTTAATAAATATTACATCATTATAAAATCCAACTATTTTTCTATATTATAGTCATAATTATTTTCTACATTCTATATTATAATTTATTATATAGTTGTCTATATTATGAGGCAACGGGATTTTTTCTATAATTTATATAACCTTAAATATAATACGATATCATTATAAAAAATATATAGTAATAAAAATATTTTTATTATTTTTTTATTATTTTTGTTTATTTCTCTCAACTTGGTATAGAGTAATTGTGTAATTGTCTTATGAAATTTGATAAATTCAATACTTCAAACTCTATTATACCAACAACATCGGATGAATAGATTTTCACAAGCTGCAACCCTTAAGCTAGTTTTGAAACATCAATCTCTTCTCTTGTTTTGCCCATTACTATATCTCACTAACATTGACTTGCAACAAATTACTTGTTTGGAAAATTTTAGATGATACCTTTTTGCAAAGTCAAGGATTATTCAACTTAATTGGATCTAGGCCATATCCACCATCTCATCAACTAAGTGACAACACTCCTCTTCCGTAATATTTTTTTTAGGAACAAGGACGATACCCTAACAAATTTTATGATGAAAAAAGAAATATAAGAAGGGACATACTAGCCTTACCCCAATAAAGGGAAAAGGAGGAGAGGGGGGGGGGGGAGGAGGGGGCTAGGAGAACCTTACCTCAAAATACTAAACATGATGTATATAAATACCAAAATAATCTTACCTGTAAGCTATATGAACATCCACAAGAAGATCCATAATGTGGTAAAAAACACAATGTCTTAAGTACGTGTAAGCATGATTAGCTAACCTATTAGTCTGTACAATTTTGTTAACGAAGCACATGAGAAATAAAAATAGAATGTTCCATCAATAATCTCTCACATTGTCGAAGTTCCTAAATATAGCACCATGGTTTGGAGACTCAATGTTTTAACACGTTTATTGCCACTAAAGAATCGGAATCTACTAATATTGTTGTAATATTCAACTCTTGACACATTTTAAGACCATCCGGAAGAGCTTTTATTTCTCTACACATATTTGCTCCTATGCCATAATAACGTGAAAAGCTAGCAACCACACATCCCCGATTATTCCAAATGATGCCACCACTAGTTTAATATCCATTTCTAGAAATTCTATCCGTATTTAGTTTATAAAAACTCGTATTTGAAGGGTGTCATTTTTACCAACACCTTTCGCGAGGCTTTATTGGAAACAAAGGGACGTGACATTACTATAGCTTAGATTTATCTTGAAGGCAACACTCTTTTTTTAGTGTATAAATCACATACAAATCCATAATGTGGCCACCAATTCTCTTTTTAATCGAATATATACTCATAAAAATATCATTATATTTTATTTGACATTTACTTTTTCGGATTTCTCATAGAGTAAAAAAAACATATTACAACTCGACACATAACAACTTGAGTTTTTATACCACACGACTAAGAATTAAGAAGTTCTAAGCTAGAATGATACCTAGATTGTATTTGAAAGATTCGACCATAATGACCCCATGCATTTGTACCACTATCTTCGAATGAAGAAACGGATGATCAAATGATTTCTCTTTATGGCTATGACAATAGTGACACATTAAGATCGAAGGAATATTTAAGCGTTTGATATTACTATCCACGAGTCTAGCCTTGTAAATCCATCTTTAAATGAAACTACTTATCTTGATTGGTATGTTGGAAAACCACACCTTAATACACCATGTAACTCGTTGAAAATCAATTTTTGTGTGCTTCCCAAAAGTCTTTTATAACAAACTAACCTAACTTTGAGAGAGTAAAAACCAGTTTGTCTCTTATATCATCATCCAATTAGATATTATGAACCTATTCCTATAAGCGATTAGGAATAAGTTTCATAAACTCTTTTATGTCTTGAAATGCCTCTTTCATTCGTGAGGTTGTTATCTAATGACAATGGAGCTGGAATTATCAACCCACTCCAATTGATCTTCTAAAAAGAAATGTTGTCATTATCGATCATCTATGGGCTATTGTCCATTATCTCTACTTGGACCCAACAAGATCAACTACTAATAAGTATTATTATTACGTATTTATCTTTTGAGATATTTTATTTAATAATTGATTATACTTTCTCTCGTGGTATTTGGTATACTTTAAAACACACTTTAGCATCTCCTTTGAATACTCAAGTTATGTAATTTCATATGTTACTACAAGAATTCAAATAGAATAATAATTCTATTTTTTTATTTACAAAGAGTAAAGAAAATTAATGATGAATTAGTCACGAGTAACCGGACCTCTATCTATTTTAGATTTTCATTTTAATGCTTTTAAGAGATTAAATGGAAATTCAAATATCTTATGATTGTACTATCAATTATAGTGGAACTTGTTTCCTTCATCAAATTGAACGAGTCTCTTATTGAGTCACGGGTTCCTCGATCGAGAGGTTTTTTGCTTATTGATTTACCTTTTAGTTTTGGTACTTACGCTTATATATTGACCCATTTGACCATTAATTCCCGGTGATAATAACGACTTCAAGAGTAATCTTTCATGGTAACAATGGTTGCAATCACGAGCACTAAAGAAATAAAAGTGGTTTCTTTATATGACAAACAACTAGTTCACCTCAAGTTGGTCTATGACATCAATCTCAATGGACTAATCTTCCATATAGCCATAACATATGTTGCTAATTTGTAATAGATGGAGTCACATTGCTCAATCATGTTTCTTACTTCACTAGTAACCTTTTTTGTCGATAGCCAATATGGTTTTGAACACCATTTTCACCAATTCATTTCCTTCGCTCAATGATTTTGGATATTGTTGTCACTCATCATATCACTCTTAACCTCATAGGTATAACTCATTCGATCCTTATAGTGAGTATCGATAAGTTATAAGTAGGAGATAGTAAGAGATTTGGTATCTCTAATATTAATTCTACAACTTTACACATATTAAAATGTATGCTTAAAATGTCTAATATTTCTCACGTACTATATATTAGATAGCCATTACTCCCTATTCAATAATTTTCATGTGAAGATAATATTTTCTTTGAATTTTAATCGTTATATTTTGGTTTTAAAGGTTGTATCTCTAAGGAAATTCTTCTCTCTACATGGAGTATATAACGTTTATAGCCTAATAGGGAGTTAAGAGTGCTACTTGCACTACCTCACATCCGAAAGTGTAAGGCAATGCATTGTGTCCACTACTTTAGACCTCTATGACAATGTATAACAAAATTCTTTATTTGGTTTAAAGTTTAAAACTTCTTAAGATTTGTCGTTTAATGGTAGTAAATTTTTTCCAACTTATGGCATAATCTAAACTATTTTATATCCATTCTCAAATTTAAGCATAAAGCTAACATAATTATAATCCTCACTTGGATTAAAACTAACATGAGCATAATTCAAGACTAATTTATTAATAACCTTAATTCATTCATAAATATTTCATTTACTTCAAATCTCCTAAATATATATTAACATATCCAAAATATAAAAATGTATCATTTATAACCCAAAATGGTCAAATTTAGGCATTACCCAAAAGTGCTCAAACCTAACAAATGTTTAACCTTTAAAATTTAAACCTAAACCTATAGTACAAGAATTGAAAAACTTTATAGCTTATGGCCATCATCCTTAACACATCCAATCAATCCTTAAACATCGTTTTGTTCACCTATACTTGCTAGATAAAATAGTGAGCTAAAGCTCAATAAATGTAACCATGCATAAGATGTAATTAAAACTATCATTTTATATGCTTGAAATTCTTTTCTATCTTTTAGATGTACCATGTTGAATATATATAGTTTTAGCCTTCTTTTTTCCATAAAGGCTTTAGACATGTTTGATTAAATGAACCTTATACGGGTTGAACATTTTCCTTATCCCTTTTGAGCATGTCTAGCTATGTCATGTCCTCATAAAAACCATGCACATGTCTTTTCTTGAATGCTTGAATCATAACATAAAATATTTCGCGGTGTGAGCATAATTAAAATGTAACATCAAGTATAAACATAAACATGAACTATGTGGCATTAAGCCATTTATGAATACCTTTTATGTGACATGACACTATTGAAATATTAAGCCTTAAACCAATATGAGCACATACTTAAACAACATCAA